TGCACATAAATAACATTAACACAACATTCTAAAAGTCAACAGAGCTGCAGTTGTATAATCGAATACAGCAATTTGACAGAAATGCCATTTCTCTACTCAGAGACAAAATATCAATATTGTGTGGGGTTTTTACTTTCCTTTTGGCACAAATGATTGAATCTATGCATAAACTTACGAATGCTATATGTTCATTGTTCTCTTTGTCTTAGAAATAATTCTTCCGACTCGTCATAAATCATTATTCGCCGTTGCTACGTCCTTACATGTTGGCTCCAAGTGACGGATGTCTGCGTTCTGCGCAACATAAGGCTTATATCTTACATAGGGCATCGTTTCAGTGAACACTTCTGCACGGCGTGGTAATGTTTATATCTAGGGGTACAGAGGTACTGTTTACATCTACGGATACAGTGGTAGTGTTTACATCTAGGGATACAGTTGTAGTGTTTACATCTAGGGATACAGAGGTATTGTTTACATCTACGGATACAGTGGTAGTGTTTACATCTAGGGATGCAGTGGTAGTGGGTACATCTAGGGATACAGTGGTAGTGTTTACATCTAGGGATGCAGTGGTAGTGTTTACATCTTGGGATACAGTGGTAGTGTTTACATCTAGGGATGCAAGGGTAGTGTTTACATCTAGGGATGCAGTGGTAGTGTTTACATCTTGGGATACAGTGGTAGTGTTTACATCTAGGGTTACAGTGGTAGTGTTTACATCTAGGGATACAGCGGTAGTGTTTACATCTTGGGATACAGTGGTAGTGTTTACATCTAGGGTTATAGTGGTAGTGTTTACATTTTGGGATACAGTGGTAGTGTTTACATCTAGGGATCCAGTGGTAGTGTTTACATCTAGGGATACAGTGGTAGTGTTTACATCTAGGGATGCAGAGGTAGTGGGTACATCTAGGGATGCAGTGGTAGTGTTTACATCTAGGGATACATTGGTAGTTTTTACATCTAGGGTGACATTGGTAGTGTTTACATCTAGGGATGCAGAGGTAGTGGGTACATCTAGGGATCCAGTGGTAGTGTTTACATCTAGGGATACATTGGTAGTGTTTACATCTAGGGTTACATTGGTAGTGTTTACATTTTGGGATACAGTGGTAGTGTTTACATCTAGGGATCCAGTGGTAGTGTTTACATCTAGGGATACAGTGGTAGTGGGTACATCTAGGGATGCAGTGGTAGTGTTTACATCTAGGGATACATTGGTAGTGTTTACATCTAGGGATACAGTGGTAGTGTTTACATCTAGGGATACAGTGGTAGTGTTTACATCTAGGGATGCAGTGGTAGTGTTTACATCTAGGGATACAGTGGTAGTGTTTACATCTAGGGATGCAGAGGTAGTGGGTACATCTAGGGATCCAGTGGTAGTGTTTACATCTAGGGATACAGTGGTAGTGGGTACATCTAGGGATGCAGTGGTAGTGGGTACATCTAGGGATGCAGTGGTAGTGTTTACATCTAGGGATACATTGGTAGTGTTTACATCTAGGGATACATTGGTAGTTTTTACATCTAGGGTTACAGAGGTAGTGGGTTCATCTATGGATCCAGTGGTAGTGTTTACATCTAGGGTTACAGTGGTAGTTTTTACATCTAGGGATACAGTGATAGTGTTTACATCTAGGGTTACAGTGGTAGTGTTTACATCTAGGGATACAGTGGTAGTGGGTACATCTAGGGAAGCAGTGGTAGTGGGTACATCTAGGGATACAGTGGTAGTGTTTACATCTAGGGATGCAGAGGTAGTGGGTACATCTAGGGATCCAGTGGTAGTGTTTACATCTAGGGATACAGTGGTAGTGGGTACATCTAGGGATGCAGTGGTACTGGGTACATCTAGGGATACAGTGGTAGTGTTTACATCTAGGGATACATTGGTAGTGTTTACATCTAGGGATACATTGGTAGTTTTTACATCTAGGGTTACAGAGGTAGTGGGTACATCTATGGATCCAGTGGTAGTGTTTACATCTAGGGTTACAGTGGTAGTTTTTACATCTAGGGATACAGTGGTAGTGTTTACATCTAGGGTTACAGTGGTAGTGTTTACATCTAGGGATACAGTGATAGTATTTACATCTAGGGTTATAGTGGTAGTGTTTACATCTAGGGTTATAGTGGTAGTGTTTACATCTTGGGAGACAGTGGTAGTGTTTACATCTAGGGATGCAGTGGTAGTGTTTACATCTAGGGATACAGTGGTAGTGTTTACATCTAGGGATACAGTGGTAGTGTTTACATCTAGGGATACAGTGGTAGTGTTTACATCTAGGGGTACAGTGGTAGTGTTTACATCTAGGGATACAGTGGTAGTGTTTACATCTAGGGATACAGTGGTAGTGTTTACATCTAGGGGTACAGTGGTAGTGGGGAGTACATCTAGGGATGCAGTGGAGTACATCTAGGGATGCAGTGGTAGTGTTTACATCTTGGGATACAGTGGTAGTGTTTACATCTAGGGTTATAGTGGTAGTGTTTACATTTTGGGATACAGTGGTAGTGTTTACATCTAGGGATCCAGTGGTAGTGTTTACATCTAGGGATACAGTGGTAGTGTTTACATCTAGGGATGCAGAGGTAGTGGGTACATCTAGGGATGCAGTGGTAGTGTTTACATCTAGGGATACATTGGTAGTTTTACATCTAGGGTGACATTGGTAGTGTTTACATCTAGGGATGCAGAATGGGGTACATCTAGGGATCCAGTGGTAGTGTTTACATCTAGGGATACATTGGTAGTTTTTACATCTAGGGTTACATTGGTAGTGTTTACATTTTGGGATACAGTGGTAGTGTTTACATCTAGGGATCCAGTGGTAGTGTTTACATCTAGGGATACAGTGGTAGTGGGTACATCTAGGGATGCAGTGGTAGTGTTTACATCTAGGGATACATTGGTAGTGTTTACATCTAGGGATACAGAGGTAGTGTTTACATCTAGGGATACAGTGGTAGTGTTTACATCTAGGGATGCAGTGGTAGTGTTTACATCTAGGGATACAGTGGAAGTGTTTACATCTAGGGATGCAGAGGTAGTGGGTACATCTAGGGATCCAGTGGTAGTGTTTACATCTAGGGATACAGTGGTAGTGGGTACATCTAGGGATGCAGTGGTAGTGGGTACATCTAGGGATGCAGTGGTAGTGTTTACATCTAGGGATACATTGGTAGTGTTTACATCTAGGGATACATTGGTAGTTTTTACATCTAGGGTTACAGAGGTAGTGGGTTCATCTATGGATCCAGTGGTAGTGTTTACATCTAGTGTTACAGTGGTAGTTTTTACATCTAGGGATACAGTGATAGTGTTTACATCTAGGGTTACAGTGGTAGTGTTTACATCTAGGGATACAGTGGTAGTGGGTACATCTAGGGATGCAGTGGTAGTGGGTACATCTAGGGATACAGTGGTAGTGTTTACATCTAGGGATGCAGAGGTAGTGGGTACATCTAGGGATCCAGTGGTAGTGTTTACATCTAGGGATACAGTGGTAGTGGGTACATCTAGGGATGCAGTGGTAGTGGGTACATCTAGGGATGCAGTGGTAGTGTTTACATCTAGGGATACATTGGTAGTGTTTACATCTAGGGATACATTGGTAGTTTTTACATCTAGGGTTACAGAGGTAGTGGGTACATCTATGGATCCAGTGGTAGTGTTTACATCTAGGGTTACAGTGGTAGTTTTTACATCTAGGGATACAGTGGTAGTGTTTACATCTAGGGTTACAGTGGTAGTGTTTACATCTAGGGATACAGTGATAGTATTTACATCTAGGGTTATAGTGGTAGTGTTTACATCTAGGGTTATAGTGGTAGTGTTTACATCTTGGGAGACAGTGGTAGTGTTTACATCTAGGGATGCAGTGGTAGTGTTTACATCTAGGGATACAGTGGTAGTGCTTACATCTAGGGATACAGTGGTAGTGTTTACATCTAGGGATACAGTGGTAGTGTTTACATCTAGGGGTACAGTGGTAGTGTTTACATCTAGGGATACAGTGGTAGTGTTTACATCTAGGGATACAGTGGTAGTGTTTACATCTAGGGGTACAGTGGTAGTGAGTACATCTAGGGATGCAGTGGTAATGGGTACATCTAGGGTTACAATGGTAGTGTGTACATCTAGGGATACAGTGGTAGTGTTTACATCTAGGGTTATAGTGGTAGTGTTTACATCTAGGGATACAGTGGTAGTGTTTACATCTAGGGTTATAGTGGTAGTGTTTACATCTAGGGATACATTGGTAGTGTTTACATCTAGGGATACAGTGATAGTATTTACGTTTTGGGATACAGTGGTAGTGTTTACATCTAGGGTTACAGTGATAGTGTTTACATCTTGGGATACAGTGGTTGTGTTTACATCTAGGGATATAGTGGTAGTGGGTACATCTAGGGATACAATGGTAGTGTTTACATCTAGGGTTACAGTGGTAGTATATTGTGGGCTGTAGAATACTATTTAGGATGAAGACATATATATCATATTATGAGAAGTAAAACAAGAAAAATATTTGTAAAGGATATAATCTCCTATTCTCGATATTTCGAGTTTCGTGTATATTCGTTTTGCATCAGAGTGTTATTCTAGGAGAAATGAAATTAAAGCGATAATGCAGTGTAAAATATAAATGTAGCTTCACAAAATGTTGTTCTTGCTTCTGATTTTCTATCTAATCAAGGTGTGGAGAGAACATTACGCCGATCCTCGTGAAATACCAGTTTGCGAACTGTGTGGACTGTATTTTGTTATTCAGTGTAGTAGTGTTATAGTGTTATTAGTTACCGCATATAAAGTGACACGTAGTGATTCTTTTAAAGTGTAGATTACATACAAGTAATCAGACGGGATACAGATGTACCGGTCACAGAACAAATAACTCTGCGAGTAACCTGGTAAGTGAGTGAGCGAGTTTAGTTTTACGCCGCACTCAGCAAAAGTGGGGGGGATGACAACACAGCACTCATGCTCCATGATGCGGGCAATGCCCCCTCCCCCGTGCTGTCGGCAGGACACGCCCACTCTGCCTATGAAGCTGAAGATACCGCATCGTATTCAACCGTCTGTCAGTTCACTAAGACCTTTCAGAGACGTGGGCGGTTCGTCATTAAAAAAAGAAAATAATATATGACGTTCTGTGTAAACTGACATTAAAAACAAAATTTATCTTTTCGAAAAACACATACAGTTGAAATAAGCTGAAGTACTCATCAGTTGGGGAAAAGAAAACAAGAAGTCGTTTATTGGAATCATTTTGTATATTTTCGTGAAACCTCCAACATGTGGCACCACAGAGAGCCTATTGACGGATGCAGTTACCCCCACGTACCCGCAGACAAATAGATGTTTGTCTGTGTTATTGCTGAATACATCACTTGTAGGATTTGGTTTTTCGGACACTCGTGTGTTTGAAATAATTTATAACGCGAACGTGTTACTACACTTTTACCAGTTTCCTAGTTGTGATCTGAGATGGACTGTCAGCCGTAGTGGTCGTTCCCTGGTAGTCCTCCACGTCTTTCCCTCGAGTCCTTCCTTGCTAAGCTTTAGACAGTTACAGACAGCACTGAGACATGATTCACCTGTAAGATGTATAGGCGTTTTTACCAACAGGAGACTTGTTTTGCTTGGAAGTCCACATGGTATGCTGACGGTGTATAGTGACATGGTACATTGACGGGTTACATTGACGGGTACAGTGACATGACACATTGACAGGATATATTGAATGGTAGAGTGACATGACACATTGACAGGATATATTGAATGGTAGAGTGACATGGTACATTGACAGGATATATTGAATGGTAGAGTGACATGGTACATTGACGGGAGATATTGACGGGTAGAGTGACATGGTACATTGACGGGAGATACTGACGGGTAGAGTGACATGGTACATTGACGGGAGATATTGACGGGGAGAGTGACATGGTACATTGACGGGAGATATTGACGGGTAGAGTGACATGGTACATTGACGGGAGATATTGACGGGTAGAGTGACATGGTACATTGACGGGAGATATTGACGGGGAGAGTGACATGGTACATTGACGGGATATATTGACGGGTACGGTGACATGGTACATTGACGGGATATATTGACATGGTACATTGAAGGGCACAGTGACATGGTGCATTGACGGGGTACATTGACGGGTACACTGACATGACACATTGACAGGATTTATTGACGGGCACATTGTCGTGATATATTGACTGGTACAGTGACATGGTACATTGACGGATGCAGTGACATGGCTCCTAGACGGGTAGAGTGATATGGCTCATTGGCGGGATATTTTGACATGTACAGTGACATGGTACATTGACGGGTTCAGTGACATGGTACATATGTTGAGGGAGTACAGTGAGAGTACACTTGCAGGGTACATTGACGGGGTATAGTCAGGAATACAGTGACAAGGCACATAGACAGAACCCGAAAACATTCAGTTACTAATGACATTAAAGCGTGAAACAGTTACTTGACAAAGTAGTCATGCAATATTTGTGTTTTATTATTTCGTTCTTGTTGTTTAACTGAATCAAGTGAGTCAGTGAGTGAGTGAGTTCAGCTTTTCGCCGCACTCAGCAATATTTCAGCTATCTGGCGGCGGTCTGTAATAAATCGAGTCTGGACCAGACAATCCGTGATCAACAGTATGAGCATTGATCTATGCAATTGGGATTCGATGACATGTGCCAACCTAATAAGCCATTTTCCAGTTTCGCGAAATAAGTTCGTTTAGAGTGATGTCCCTTTGCAAAACCACGTGACCGCGGGCAAACTGTCAAAACAAACGGCTGTCAAAATTTGTAACGTAATTGACTGTGCAACGACCGCTATCTGACGTGTACACACCGAGAAAAGCAGAAGATGCCTTACCACCACTGTTGCTATGGATTGTGTAAGTCTGATAACAGGTACAAGGATCGCCATGAGATGGAAAACGTGTTTTTTATTCCTTTTCCGAAGCTGAAGAGTCAACCGGAGAAATGTTTGAGGTGGACGAGGGCCTGTGGTCGAGAGGGATTTGACGTCAAAAACATCACGAGGCACACATATATTTGTTCGAAACACTTCGTAGGTGAGTTTTGTCTGAATATGCTACAATTTTATGTTTCCATCAGGTGGAATTCTAAAATAGTAACTATATCGTCAATGCAAATCATTAATTTCTCGGACAATGATAAAAAAGTGGTTACATGGTGTAAAATAATGTACCCATGCATAGTTTTAAATTGCCGCTTTAGTGCTTGTGTGAACTACAGTTGATTTATAAATATCCTGTCAGGTGGCCGTGGACCAACTTTGGGATTTCCCAGACCCTGTCTCGATAACTTCCACGCCCTTGAAGCCTAGGCCACCACCTCGACAAAGACAGGCAGACCCAGTAGCCTCTGACACCCCAAGCAAAAAGAGAATGGTAGAGGATGATGTCTTACCTACCAAATGTATGTATGTTCAAAAGAATATAACTTTAGCATGTTGTTTTATAATTAATTCATTCTCACATCCACTTGTTTTGATTGAATCGCCCCTTTATGAAATAATTTAATCTGAGTGTATATATTCTGTTATAATATTCTTTTGGTCTAAGTATGTTAATATTATTCAACAGGTGAAGTTCAGATGGGAATGGACATTGTTGGTCCAATGACAGCTCTTGGTGATCACATCTACAGCACTATCAAATCTACTGCTGATGCCTCCACACAAACAAACTTGTGTTTTGATGACATCAGCTCATACACAGATGATGTGCTGCAGAACCCCAAGATGCTGACCAAAAAATTAACAATGGATAACATCACAAGAAACAACAAAAGCAGCAAGTTTTACACTGGTACATATATTACATGTTATTGTGTTTAAAGGTATATACATACAAAATACCAGCATATATAAAATAACTAAGTATTACATTTATCAATCCTTTGGGTTGGGCACTGTAACCAAAAATATCAGATTCATGTTTCATTTATGGTGGTGGTTATTATTCAATGTCACATTGTCAATGATGTTTGATGACCAGTGTTACACTTTTACAACAGGGCTCAGTGTTGCCATGCTCATGCTGGTGTTCAACTGGTTGAAGGACAAGGCTGCCAGGATGACTTACTGAGAGGTCAAAGTGAGACAAAGCAAGATGGGGTGTGTTTTGTCATTAATACTCATGTCAGTTAGTACATACCAAATGACATTACATATTATATAAACCATTTGATGCTGGTTAACTTTTCAGAAATATTCAGTTTATTATGGTCAGAACATTGGGACATTTTACTGATAATACAAAAGTTTCCAATTAATACAACTCTGAATCTTGGCTGGCAACCAATGCATTATTTCACGCATAGTTTCTGATATCAGTTCAGAATGTAAATGGTACAGCACTGTAAATGTTCAAAATTAGTTGTGTACAATTTCCTGCTTTTGTATTGCAGCAAAATCCAGCAGAGGCCCGTCAAGACTTCTCTCTCTGTATGAGGAATTTATCATCACTCTGATGCGCCTACGACGAGCTAATGATGTGGAACAGTTGTCTGACTTGTTTGGTGTTTCGAACTCTCACATTAGTAGAATTTTCAACACATGGATCAATCTGATGTGCAAAGAATTATGTTTTCTTATCAAATGGCCTTCCACAAGACAGGTGAAACATAATCTTCCTAAATGTTTTAAATATTTTCCAAATACCAAAGCAGTTATTGATTGTACAGAATTTCTACTCAAAAACTGAGTATTCCTTCCAGCCAGAGAGTAACATGGTCATCTTATAAACATAGAAATACTTTAAAGTGTTTAGTTGCTTGCTCCAAAAGGTTCATTTACTTTTGTTTCAAAGTTATGGTCAGGCAGCATTTCGGATAGGAAGATAGTTCAACAATCTGGTTTCTTAGATTTACTCTCTGAACATGATGACATCATGGCTGATAGAGGCTTTTAATTAGAGATCTATTAGCCTTTAGAAAGACAACTCTCAACATACCACCATTTTCTCATGGAGACAACTCAGTTCAGTAGCAGTTACTAAAACTAGGAGAATAGCAAATGCTAGAATACATGTGGAGAGAGCTATTGGGAGACTAAAGGAATATAAACTATTACAGGGTGTTATTCCTTTGAAAATCAAAGGTCTCTTTGTCAGTGTGTAAATGTAGCAGCGTCACTGTGCAACTTGGATAATGTTCTTGCTAAATAGATGTCCAAGTCACTCAAAAGGAATATCTCTTACAGTAACCAGGAAGTTTCAGCCAAAGCTGACAAATATCTTCATCTATTTTACTTGTTTAAAGTCTGCAATATTGAAGGAAGTAATATTTTTACATATATATTTTGATTTTTCTAATCATAGACTCAAAGAATTGTTCATGAAAAGGTACATTAATAACATGTATACCTTTCCTGGTGTATATTACCAAATCACAGGACTGAAATCCATATATACCTAATTGGCCTTGAATTTGATAATAATAATCACTATCATCTTTAAGATACCAATTACCATCTTTCAGGTAACATCCCCTACATTGTGCAGCAGTTTTAGGATCACAGTCTCTCAAAGCCCATGGACATTTAATTTCTAATAATTTGTTTTGATGATTTTCTTTGCATTGACATTCAACTGTACCATCCACTGAAGTACCAAGGAAAGGATTTTCTTTATCAATCAATAAACCTTTGATTTTCACTAATAATTTTTTATGTCTCCTTCTTTCAATCTGTTTATACATTTCTTTGGCCTTGCTTTCTTTCTTTCTACCCCACACAATAGAAGATGGTACATTGCTATTGTCAATGCTAAGACTGTCATGGAGCAAACATTTCACTAAATTTGAACAATCAATGTTATTGTTTTTTCAAAAGAGTCTGCCCTGGTGCAAACACGTTTAAAATTGGAAGTGGTCACCATGCCTTTTTCTCATAACTGACCATGTAGGATTCTCACTCTGTCCTGTGGTTTCATGTTCAATGTAAGTAATGTCATCAGTACAGTATCTGAGTCTATTAATTGCATCCTGAGATATGTCAGTATCTGGACGCAAGTCAAGGGCCTGTAGTTTGTTGACTATGGACATGGCAGCACATTCCTCATTAATTTTGTTGCTTGAGTCTCTGTGTCAGTGGGATCAAGTAGGCTCTCCAAGGCACAAGCATTCGGATTTATCTGCAATTATGAAACATGTTCATAAGTTCTCTGCAAAATGATATCATTCATTTGGGCTACAACTAGCTCTTGAGCATTGGAAGTTGTCCATTTCTGTCATGATACCAAGCTGAAAGTTGGAAGTGTCATCCCATGAAGGTATGTATATATTGAGTGTATTGTTTTACAGATAGATATTCATTGCTTTTATGAATGTTTGAAAGTAAAACAATCTGCATTGAAAACACCTGTTCCAAAAACGTTTATATGAATACTTAACATTTTCATGCTTTAACTACCGGTACATAATGACTGTTGTATGTTGTGGACTGAAATAGGGAATATTCAACTCATTTCAACCTGGTGCAGGGAGGCTGCAAAATCGGCCAGCTGTTCAAGTGATGGATTTGCTCGGTCACTTATTGGTCGAGGATCAAAATTCTCCTGTCCAAGGTCACTGTTCGTGTCTGCTAGTGTTTGTCCATAGCTGCAACATTACATTTTACATGGGTCATTTGTACAGCAAAAATAAAAATATCTCCCATGTATTTCATGTTGGTTGATTTTTTTAAGACCAGATTTTTAATGTAGAATATTAACTACTTGCAGACTAGTGTTCTGAAATTTCCAACATGTCCTTGTTTTTCTTTTTGTACCTGATTTTCTTGACTTTTAGGTGACGCAGTGGCACAGGCTCATCATGACTTCTTGGTCGCTTTGGTCCATAGGGATGGGCCATCAGTGACGCTCTTTTTTCTCAAAAGCTTCAATGTCAAAAGTGTTGCTGCTTTATGTCTGCAGGCTCCATCAGATCTGAAATATGTGAAAAATACATGTACACTATTTGTTTCAAGAC